TTTTATTCAAGTTAACCTTGAGCTGTCGAGTAGTTTTATTGGCCATTGAGTTGTCCATAGTCCCTTTTTGTGGTGTCATGTTGGGCTGGCACACAGAACGAGTCTCCGCCCACTCAGTCAGGACATAATCAGGTCATGTTTCATTCATCAGACACGCAAATCCAGTTAGTGAGAAAATGTCCCTGGCATGGAGAGCCAAAACCTGAACAGTTCGCAAACCCTACAATGACAACATCAGCTAAATCTGTGCCAGAAATGACGTGTGACGGCAGTGATGTTCAACTGACCTCACGTCCTGTTTTACTGTTTGACGGTCAATGTGGGGTTTTCTTTATTTGCTTAAAAACTGCTAGGAATAACCCTTAACCATGAATGGAAATACTCTACTTCCCTTAAACGGCCTATTTAAAGAAGTATACACTTCCGAAAAGTGATGTTCTCTATATATACTTGACTTAAGATGCATTTACTTGAGAAGTATAATGTAATTAATGATTTTTATTTTTAATTTAAAATTAATTACATTTTAAAATATTTTTTTTTATTTTTAATAATAGAATTAATAATTAAAAAAAATTAAATATACTTAATTCAAAAGGAAATAATTAATATTTTACCATACTTGTATAGATATTTTTTTTCTTGGTTCAAGTATAAACTCAATTTTGATGAATTTCTTACTTTAAAGTCAATTTGTATTGATATTTGTAATGGTAAACAGGACAAATACAGTGGAAAAACTGCATTTTTACAGTTTAAACTGATAGTTGTGTGCAAATATCCAGGTTTATATACCCAACAGAAGATCACGTGTGTGTGTGTGTGTGTGGTGACAAGGCTTTCTATTGTCTCAGACTCGGAAAAGCCCTCGTCCCACAGTATTAGATCTGAGTTTGTGTTCAGACGTCCCACCAGTTGCAACCCACTTTCCTGAAACAAAACACAGACGGTCATGTGACTCGGCAGGTCAAGTCCGGCTGCTCACTTTAATGAATGAGATTTTTTTTTTTAGATTAACCCGAGTTAAAACTTTTTTGTTTCTCTTTTGAACTAACTGAGATTTAAGCAAAGCTCCAGTTAGCAAGCTAATATTTAGTCCAGATGCATCTGTCACTTTGACCCCGTCGTCATTAAGGGGAGATTGTGAACGTCAGACAGGGAATGGCACTATTTACGCAACATGGTTTGCGTCTTAGCCAATTCTGGTGCTCTGAGACACTTAACACGTCGTCTTTCCTCCCTGTTTTAATTAAAACGTATCGGTAAAGTTTGCTTTTTATGCTGAGTGTCAGATTCCTCAGTTTAGTATGTAGTGTGTGGGCCAGTTTAACATGCCTGGAGACATAGTTCACAGCGTTTGCCCATTCTGGGTTAATAAACGGCTCAAAACAACCATTGTCAACACATTTAGTCTGTGGTGTGTTTCAAATTGCTCAGTTTATTGTTTGAGAGATGTTTTATATTAAGGACTTTGCATTAACTTTGTTGTCATGGACAGTTTTATTTCAATTTTTTGCATGAGGGACAGTGTTTTCAGCAAGGTTAGGGTTTCAAACCCGTATTGAATCTGTACATTTCATTTACTATAAATGGCCATTGACGTGGATGACTGAATGCATATTAGCAAACTATATGAGGTGCATCCAGTACTAAATAAATCTAGGAGTTAATTATTGTTATGAATATGAAAATGGATATGACACGGTTGTTTAAAGGAGAAGTTGAATTGGTCACTCAATACTCCCTCATTCATATTGAAAGGGAAAGAGAAACCGGTTTCTGATTTGTGTAAGAATTTCTTGTGTAAATCATATTTGTTTAATAGAATGTCCATTTTTATATTTTGTCCATATATTAATTTTAGAATTTCTATCATAAATTAATTTTTGGATTTTTTCATTATATATTAATTTTAGAATTTCTATCATATATTATTTTTTTAGATATTCTTTTTGTATATTAATTTTTAGAATTTCTTTATTACTTTTAGAATTTCTATAATATATTCTTTTTAGAATTTCTATCATATATTCATTTTTGGGATTTCTATCATATAGTAATTTTTGGATTTTTTTACATTAATTTTAGAATTTCTATCATATATTATTTTTTTAGAATTTCTTTCATATATTATTTTTAGAATTTCCTTCATATTAATTTTAGAATTTCTATCATTTTAATTTTAGAATTTCTATTATATTAGTTTTAGAATTGTCATATATTATTTTTGAGATTTTAAATCATATATTAATTTTAGAATTTCTATCATATATTAATTTGAGAATTTTTTATATTAATTTGAAAGATTGCATGTAAGTTTTATCATTACTGTTGTTGTTATAGGTAAATGTCTGTTTTTGTATATTGATTGTTTTTAAAGACAAAATTGTCAAATTATTGTAAACAATGTATTAAAGTGATATTGTAATCATAATTCTAATTTGTTTTAAAAGTGAAATACTGTTGATTTCCATGAATATAGCAATTTCTGCTAATATGGCGTTAAATCGTAAATAAATAAAATTGCCAGAATATATTTTTGACCGAATAGCTCTTGTTGCAAAGTATTCACAATTTTAAATGTAAAAAGTAAAATACAGTATATGTAAATAAAAGTTATCAATTCAATGTTTTTGTCACTTTTTTTGTATTAAATTTCATCATTATTATTTATTGTACAATACTACATTGTAAAACTACAACATTTCACATTATTAATTATTTATTTTACCAAATTTACAATAAATGGTAGTAAGCGACAATATGTGCATGTTACAATTTTACTCAAACTTACTAAAGCTTGCATTATTGTATTAAAACCGATTCAAAGAACTGAATAGTAGAAAGTCTATTGGCATTTTTGCTGTTGAAGTGTGTAATTTAATTTCTGTCAGACTAGTTTTGCTGAAAAGTATTTGCGAAAATGTTTGTTTCGATCTTCCCACCTAAAACTCACATCATTGGTTGAATCAGTTGAATCAGTAAAGCCATGCAAATGTGTTTCCAGTATCCACCACAGTTTTCATATATTTACTTGTGTATAGATCTAAATGAATCTGAAAAGCCGCAGTCATAAATGCTCCCGTCCTTAAGTCTCGTCTGCAGCTTCTGGCGTTCATTAATCAGTGAGTCCAAGTGATGTGTTTTGCATTCAGTGGAGGTTTAGCAACATAGCTGGATTTTGCATGAGTCAAATGAACATCTTGTTCTTCTGCTTCAGGAACGCCGCTGATAAAGACGATGTGTTTCAGACTTGACTAGACACATCTCTAAAGTGTAGCCTACGACAAATCTCAGCTGAGAACTCAGGGCGGAACCAGACCTCTCTTAACTATAAGTTTTTGGAGGATTTTGCTGTGTTTTTCAAGCTAGCAAACAGTTGTAAGTCAGTTATTAGCAACTCTACTTGACCGTTTGAGGAATCACTCGTTTGTAACAGAAACAGCTCGAGTTACACACTGAAGCTGAATTCTTCTTGTTAGAAGGTTATCAAATCACTAAACTAAGTTTGAGCAATAATATCGGTATCGGCCGATATATGAGGATTTATAATGTTATCGTTATCGGGCCGATATATTAAAGCCGATAAATAATGGATTATTTCCTTCAGTTGAGACACTTCAGATGCGCATGATTTGAATTGATTGAAATATGATTTAAATCACCTCAGTTCAGTGCAACATGTGCGGCTCAAGCCTGTCATATCGGCTACGTCACATTATAATGAGAACGTTATAAGTGTGTGTTTGGGACGTGGCTTTTAATGGTGAGATTTTTGTTGTTATCTTGCTCTCAAAATTTATATAAAAATGTGGATTTAGATTTATCGGTTATCGGTTTTCAAAATATAAAGAATTATCGGTTTAATTATCGGTTAAATTTTTAAATCGGTGCATCCCTACTCATGATTTATATAACCTGTACAAGTTTGTATTGACTTTAACACTACTTAAAGCTTTTATTATATAATATATAGTCCATTATAAAAGTATTTTAATGCATTAATTATTCCGTATGTTGTCATGAATAATCGTAACCACAGTTATAATCCACCTTAAATGCAGTAAAACTTGAGAAACAAGGTTTCAGATTTAACAAGGAATCTGAATATTATAATGCTTTACAATTATTTATGAAAAGATATAATGCATTTATGATGTACTTTATTAATATCTTTTATACAACAATTAATCATGATTAATCGCATCCAAAATAAAAGTTTGTGTTTACATAAGATTTGTGGGTGCACTGTGTATAATTATTTTATATATATATAAATACGCACACATGCTCGTATATTTTTATGCATATACTGTATATAGATGTATATATAATTTATATATATATATATATATATATATATAATGTCACATTTAAATGTTTAATGAAATAAATAAAATGATCCATCCAATATAAAATCCAGCACATATAATATATGCTAATTTTATTGTTTACAGTAGATCTTTATTCACTTAAATTATTAATTAAATTTTCTTGAGGTTTACTTTTCCTCACAAACTCTTTATCCATGATAAAATTAAAAACTCCACTTTAATTGTTCATATAGCTTTTGCATCTGAACTTTTTATATGTAAATATAAATATTTTATATATAAATAATATTTTTTTAAATATATATGCATGTTTGTGTATATATATATATATATATATATATACACACACAAAATAATTATACACAGTGCACCCACATATATTATGTAAACACAAACTTTTATTTTGGATGCAATTAATCGTTTGACAGCCCTATTTTAAGGCAAGTGTAACCAAACTGTTTTCTGAAACATGGTCAAATCATATGTAGCTAGTTTATTCATTATAAATTGCTTAAAGCTAGATATGGCTTTGACTAGAAGAAAAGTAGTCAAATCAGTTTAATGTAAAACGCACAAATTGAGTCTCAATCTGGATTAGGAGCATTGGCTTGTAAATCACATGCATTGTGTCCTGATGGATGCGACGCTGTGTGTTTCCCGGTGCAGGTGTATCGCAGGTCCATGCGCCTCCTTCCTTCAGATCCACACGGAGTGGAGCCGGAGAGCTCAGCCCAACGCCGTCCTGGAGAAAGTGTTTACATCTATCACAAAGGTATGCTTTAGCGTCATGGAAAGACGGCAATAAGCCTTTACAGTGATTTACCAAAGCGTTCTGGCTCGAACTGAAGCCGAACACGTTTAAAACAGGACAATAGCAATATGATCAAATGTGTTTTTAATCATAAACGTTTATTCAGTGTCTTATTCCTGGTTTTGTACTCGGATGAACCCTTTGCTCCTCTGCTCTGCCTGTGTTTTATGAGACAGGGCTTCAACTTTAGCCGAGATAGAAGTCGAAACAAGTTTAGCATTACCTGACAGATGAATCGAGTTGGGCGCAAAGTTGTAACTTTTATCTTTACAATAACCAATGACCCGTTTTGTTGAACCGCTGTAAAACATGTTTATCAGCACCGAAGCTGAGGCGATCTGCTATGGGTTTACGTCTTATCTGATCGTTTTAGTTTAGATAAAAGTTGTTTGTAGATCATTTTGCACGTGTCGTTTTGCTGGGTAGTCTGTACATCTTTAAATTTAGGATTTTTAATGTAATAACTCAAGGCAATTTGTCACAGGGTTTTGATTTTTCATTAAAAGTAAAATGTATTTATTTACTATTGTCCTAAAGTTTAAAGTGTACAATGTAAAAATCCATAATAAATATAGTTTATTTCAATTTAAAACTTAGAAATTAAAGAAATGTTTTTCTGCAACAAAAAAAAAATACGAAAGATATGTCTCGTTTTCTGAGTTAATAAATCAAAATTAAGCGAGTTGTTGCTTTTAAAAAGCAAAATTATCTGCCAATGGGGTTAGAATAATCTTAAAATAAGATAAAATAAAATAATCTTAATTCTTACAGAAACTAGATTATTTTTTCTACCAAGTTGGTAGATAATTTTACTCATCTCTTAATCTAGATTTCTCCCCAAGAAAATAACGCATAATATCTTATGTCACATGACTATTTTAGTTAATCTTGATGTAAGAATTTTTAAATATTTGGACTGGGATCAAGACAAAAATACTAAGTATGCAAAGCCTTTTTTGCATTTGCATTTTTTGTTTACATTAACGTTTTGTTACACGCAAAATACGTCTGCATAATGCATGAACGTATAATGTAATTATAATACAGGGCCCTATAATTTCTGCAATCACAGAATCGCGGACAGAATTGCGGAATTAGCAAATTAACGCTGAATTTAGTGTTAACGGAATTTCGTCGAATTTTACATATTTGGTTTGTTTGTAGATCATTTTGCACGTGTCGTTTTGCTGGGTAGTCTGTACATCTTTAAATTCAGGATTTTTTTTATGTAATAACTCAAGGAAATTTGTCACAGGGTTTTGATTATTCATTAAAAGTAAAATGTATTTATTTACTATTGTCCTAGAGTTTAAAGTGTACAATGTAAAAATCCATAATAAATATAGTTTATTTCAATTTAAAACTTAGAAATTAAAGAAATGTTTTTCTGCCAAAAAAAAATGCATTTACCTGATGAGTAAAATGACATACGAAAGATATGTCTCGTTTTCAAGTCAGTTAATAAATCAAAATTAAGCGAGTTGTTGCTTTTAAAAAGCAAAATTATCTGCCAATGGGGTTAGAATAATCTTAAAATAAGATAAAATAAAATAATCTTAATTCTTACAGAAACTAGATTATTTTTTCTACCAAGTTGGTAGATAATTTTACTCGTCTCTTAATCTAGATTTGTCCCCAAGAAAATAACACATAATATCTTATGTCACATGACTAGTTTAGTTAATGCGTCTTGATGTAAGAATTTTTAAATATTTGGACTGGGATCAAGACAAAAATACTAAGTAAGCAAAGCCTTTTTTGCATTTGCATTTTTTTGTTTGCATTAACATTTACGCAAAATACGTCTGTAACGTAATTTCTACAACAATTTACCTTATAAAGTTTAATTGAAAGTTAGTATACTTGCTTACCAAGACATAATGCATGAACGTATAATGTAATTACAATACAGGGCCCTATAATTTCTGCAATCACAGAATCGCGGACAGAATTGCGGAATTAGCAAATTAACGCGGAATTTAGTGTTAACGGAATTTCGTCGAATTTTACATATTTGGTTTGAAATTCTATTGTTGTGTGGGAGGAGAACGTATGTCTGGTGAAAATGCAGAGCGGGGAGAGCAAATCTATTTTTTATACATTTTAATCATTAACTTTAAAAGCACACTCTTTTTACAACTAAAATAACATTAAAGGGTAAAAAAAAAAACGGAAATTTTGGAAAAATAAAAAAAATTTCATAGGGCCTTAATGATATAATATTATAATGCATATACATGAAATGTGTGGACAAACAATGAAAAATAAGGCAAATATCTATTGACAACAAAAGATTTACAGCAAGTCATTTCCAGTCAAGTTGCAATTTTTTTCAGTTAATGCAAAAAGTGTAAGAATATTATTAATATCCTTAAATAAAATAAATACAATTCTAGCAAGTCAAAAGCAGCCATTTTGTTCCTTTTTTTTTAAACATCATTACCGCCAGCATCACATGATGGAAATGACATTTACGTCCTTTTTCTTTGTTTGTTGTAGTCGCCGGACTCGCGGCATTTAGAGGGTCTGTCTAAACAGCTGGACTGGGACGTGCGGAAGGTGCAGCGATGGTTTCGGCAGCGGCGGAACCAGGACAAACCCAGCACAAGAACCAAGTTTTGCGAGAGCATGTAAGTTTGCAATTTCTGTTGGCGCACATGCATGCTAGTACATTAGCACTTAGCATATAATGAAAGAAAACATGTCAACTGAAAGTGATGAGGAAGTTACCAGCAATATTTGCATCAAGTTTCAAGTATAGATTCGTACACAGGCTAATGATTCATCGTGGAGCTGGTTGGTTTGGTTCATTAGTGAGGAATGTTTTGACATTTCAGTGGAAAATAATTCTTGAGCTAGTCTCATCCGTTTCTGATGATCAGCTGATTTTGGAATGTTCCGTCACTCGGGGAGCGTTTGGCACCACATCCATATTTTGTAAACAGTCTTATGATGTATTTTCTGATTTAGCCATATCAAATGCATTTGTTGGCAAACAAAAGATCCGCCCACATCCTCTGATTCAGAAGTAAATCCCCATGTTTATCCCTCATACGATTCCCCAATATTTAGCCCATGATTTACTCACCCTGAAGTCATCCTAGGTGTGTATGACATTCTTCCTTCAGACTAATACAATCAGAGTTTATATTCATTAATGTCCTGGCTCTTCCAAGCTTTATAATGGCAGTGAATGGGCACCATTTATTTAAATTCTACAAAAGTGCATCCATCATAAATGTGTCTCAAACTGCTCTGAGGGGGTAATAATGGGCTTTTATGATGGATAGATGCACTTTTATGATGGAAAGGTGCACTTATATCATGAATAGATGCACTTTTATGATGATAGATGCACTTTTTTGATGATAGATGCACTTTTATGATGGATAGATGCACTTTTATGATGGATAGATGCACTTTTATCATGGGTAGATTCACTTTTATGCACTTCTCAAAAAAGATACCCATTCACTACCATTATAAAGCTTGGAAGGGCCAGGACATTTTTAATATAACTCTGATTGTATTCGTCTGAAAGAAGAATGTCATATGCACCTAGGATGACTTGAGGATGAGTAAATCATGGGTTATTTTTATTTATTTATTTTTGGGTGAACTGAACTGTCCTTTTAACGCTTCCTTTTGAAGTGCAAAACTGTTTCCCTCTATATGCGTGGATGTGTTTGAGTGTGTGTGATGTGTGTGTGCTGTACCCGCTTCATCTGACGGCCGCTGTGATTTCTCTGCAGGTGGAGGTTTACTTTCTATCTTTATATATTTACTTACGGGATCCATTTCCTGTGGCAGGTGAGTTTCAGCTGTACAGATCTGTGAGTGCTTATGGTTTTGTGTTTTATTATTTATATTAACTCTGTGTGTGTGTGTGTGTTTGATAGTCTCCCTGGATGTGGGATACAAGGCAATGCTGGTACAACTACCCCTATCAGGTAATGTTTAAAATGATCCCAGATTGGCTTCAAATGAGTGTTGACGGTGAATCTTCTGCCAGAAATGTTTCAATCGTGTGACCCATCCACAATATTACAGCATATAAAAGAAACCTCATGAAACCATGAAGATTTGATGTTCAACAAAAAACACAACAAATGTATTTTTTTGTATTAAAAAAAAAATTAAGTGTACTTTTAGGGTTGTTGAAATTCTATGCATTGTGACATTATTTTCATAATGTTCACCACAATGTAAAAATATATTATTTAAATTGTTTATTATATTAATGTATTTAAAATGATTGATAAATGGAGTCTTCTCAAAATGAAATCATAATTAAGTATATAAATGATTGCATTACTGTATATTAATTATTAAATAAAGAGAATCACAATGTAGAATGGAAATCTTATTGCCAAAAAAGAACGTTTTAAAGACCCTAAAATTACTTAATTCTTTTTATTTTTTTTTTCAAATATCTTTCATATCCTGAAATGACGTTTTTATTTAAATTTTTTTTACATTCTTATTTTTATTCTTTGAGGATTTAAGGATGATAGAAATTTCACATCGGCAAAAAAAATACTTATTTTATTTTGTTTTATTTTTATTTGTTAATTTATTTTAGGGAGTTAATGGTCTTGAGTCATGAAAGAAATTTCACACTGCAAAATAAAATAAAAATCCTAACGTTCCTAAAATGGCCTTTTTTTGTTATATTATTTGTGGAATAAATGTACTTTGTATTCATGATAAGAAGTTTTATATTGCAAAAAATCTGTAATGTGTGTGTGTGTGTCTATAGGTGCTGAGCTCAGGCCTGTATCATTATTATGTAACAGAACTGTCCTTCTACTGGTCGCTCATGTTCTCCCAGTTCACAGACATCAAAAGAAAGGTCAGTGTTCGCCATTTAAAAAGCAAACGTGTGTTTTAATCCTTTTACTTCTCTCCCCTCCACTTCCCGCAGCACCTGAAGCGTGATGTTGCTTTATAAGGGCATGACGTCAGCAGCTGGTCATGTGATCTGGAGTGTGTGTTGTAGAGGAAATGATCTCCACAGCTGTCAGACGCACATGGCTTTTGTTTGACTGCGGTTGATCTGTCAGTGTCAGCATTAGCCCTTTCAATCCAGCCGCCCGTAAAGACAAATAATCCGGCCGTCTTCAGGGCGTGTCTCGTGTGTGTGTGTGTGTGTGTGTAAGATCAAGCCTGCAGCGATATGCATTATGCGGAGAGAGATTTGTATAGCAATCATAACGGATATAATCTTCCTCTTTACTTCTCACACCTGGAGAATGAAGGTCCTGGTTGCTTACAAAAGCTGAAAGAGCAATTATAATATTTAAATTGACATGTTTTACTTTTGTGTGTCATTTGCATAATATTTCCGTAACGTATTTGTTGTGTGCTTGCAGGATTTCCTCATCATGTTCGTTCATCATCTGGCCACCATAAGCCTGATCAGTTTCTCGTATGTGAATAACATGCTGCGCGTGGGGAGTCTGGTCATGTGTGTTCACGACACCTCGGACTTCCTGTTGGAGGTGAGCACAGCTGCGGTTCTGCTTCACCAGATCACGTTACGAATATGCTTTGTTTTATCTAGAAACCAGCATCACTGAGGGATTAATGCAAAATGACTGGAGTGGCAATACCTTTTTTTCAGTGCTACAAAAATAACTTTTAACTATATTTTAATGTAAAAATGTAAAAAAAAAATATATATATACTCAAAATTACCAGTATTTTATTTTTAGTTCCGCATAAAATTATATTTAATGTTGTGTTTTTTCCCTTTTATGAATAATTGTGTGTGTTGTTTTTCCCCTTGTAGGCGGCAAAGTTGGCAAACTACGCCAAATACCAGCGTTTATGTGACTTCCTGTTCGTGGTGTTTGGGATAATCTTCTTCGGGACCAGATTGATTATTTTCCCCTTCTGGTCAGTATCACATCGAGAGAGAGAGAGTGAGTGAGGGGGTGAGCGAGTGTGAGAGCGTGAGTAAAAGAGTGAGCGAGCGAGCGAGAGAGTGAGTGAAAGAGTGAGCGAGAGAGTGAAAGAGTGAGTGAGTGAGCGAGGGAGTGAGATGGAGTGAGAGAGTGAGCGACCGAGAGAGTGAGCGAGCGAGAGTGTGAGTGAGTGAGTGAAAGAGTGAGCGAGAGAGTAAGAGGGAGTGAAAGAGTGAGAGAGAGTGTGTGAGCGAGAGAGTGAGTGAGCGAGGGAGTGAGCGAGAGAGTAAGAGGGAGTGAAAGAGTGAGAGAGAGTGTGTGAGCGAGAGAGTGAGCGACCGAGAGAGTGTGAGAGAGTGAGCGACCGAGAGAGTGTGAGTGAGAGAGTGAGAGACCGAGAGAGTGTGAGTGAGAGAGTGAGCGAGAGTGTGAGCGAGTGAGCGACCGAGAGAGTGTGAGTAAGAGAGTGAGCGAGAGAGTGTGAGTGAGAGAGTGTGCGAGAGAGTGTGAGTGAGAGAGTGAGCGAGAGAGTGAGCGACCGAGAGAGTGTGAGTGAGAGAGTGAGCGAGAGTGTAAGCGAGTGAGCGACCAAGAGAGTGTGAGCGAGTGAGCGACTGAGAGAGTGTGAGTAAGAGAGTGAGCGAGAGAGTGAGCGAGAGAGTGTGAGTGAGAGAGTGAGCAACCAAGAGAGAGTAAGCGAGTGAGAATTGAGTGTGTGAGCGAGAGAGTGTGAGAGAGAGTGACCGAGAGAGTGTGAGTGAGAGAGTGAGCAACCGAGAGAGTGTGAGTGAGAGAGTGAGCAACCGAGAGAGTGTGAGTGAGAGAGTGAGCGACCGAGAGAGTGTGAGTGAGAGAGTGAGCGACCGAGAGAGTGTGAGTGAGAGAGTGAGCAACCGAGAGAGTGTGAGTGAGAGAGTGAGCGACCGAGAGAGTGAGCGAGTGAGAATTGAGTGTGTGAGCGAGAGAGTGTGAGAGAGAGTGACCGAGAGAGTGAGCGACTGAGAGAGTGAGAGAGAGAGTGAGCGAGAGTTGAGTGTGTGTTGCGAGTGTTTAAAGAGCTTTTTTTATTATGAATATTTGCATTTTAAAATAAACTACAATGCTCACTAACATATAAGTAACAGAAGAAAGAACACAATTTTAAAATTGTGGTGCTTTTAATGAAGTGAAAAAAGCATTTGCAAACGTTGTACAAAATACACAAACCGTACTCATAGGGGTGTGCAAAAAAATCGATTCACATTTGAATCGCGATTCAATCTTTACCGATTCAGAATCGATTCATAGAATTCCAAAAATCGATTCATAGGCTATATTTTTTAATGGCGTGCAGGGGCGGAGTGGCAATCGGGTGAGTCGGGACTTTTACCGGTGGTCCGGTAGTGTTTCTATGGTTTCAAAGCTGCGAGGGCCGGTCTGATAAATAGTTATTGCAAGTTCTTGCCGCCCGCTGGTCAAACTGTGCAGCCACTCTGCTCAACCCGTAAATAAATGCATCGATCCGCAGATCTTATGTTTGAGTTCTGTCGATCTTTTGCCAAGCGTGTCAGATTTTACGGGTTCTAAACCGCACTCGTATAGTTTTTTCTCTCTCTCATCAAAACCGAATATGTTCATCACGTTTGTGTGCATTTTATTTTGTGATTTCACCGGAGTCTCCACAACGGCGATGGGTTGAAGCGCGCGTCCGAGAGAAGACTGCGCGAGCCAATAGAGAACACTGTATCCATGACACTGATTGCAGCGGACACGAGCGCTCAGCTTGATTTCAAAAACAACAGGTCTCTTATTTAATAGCGAACTAAATGAATGCTCTGCTAGTTAACCGGAGATACCCGCAAATTACAGCGCCTATGAACGACTTCACTGGATCTAAACAAATCAATCTAACCATAGATGTTCCCAGTAGCGGTGGCTTTTTAAAATCTATTTAAAATATTTTCGCAAGGGTTCTATGAAATTAGTATATATTTTTAGGGAGTTCAATGTGCCCAGTCGAGTTCATTTCAACAGTCAACCTGGTAGCTGAAGTAGGCCTACTCCTTAAACCACATTTAGCATAATTGTTTGTTTGATCTGACTACAGCACTTTAAAGCTAAATGTAAAAGCTTTTTATTTAAGTTTTATTTTAAACTTGAATTAAATGTATTTAAAAGCTGGCCAAAGCTTGGCACTTCGCACATTTTAGTTGAAAAAGTTTTTATTTTTGTATGAAGACATATAAAGTAATATCAAACTTTTCTTTTAAATTATGTCTACTGCAATCAATCACATAGGAAAAAGTAAACTGCATTTATGTAGACCTGCGAATCGTTTTTGAATCGAAAATCGATTTTGAATCGAATCTCGAGACAAAAAATCGGTATCGAATCGTGACATTTTCTGAATCGTGCACCCCTACGTACTCATCTTTGCACCAATAAAATGTGCAACACTTTGTTTTACTACCAAATTATATGTAAGATCTAATTAATTTAACTTACAGTGGAATGTTTTACTAATATTTTGCGAGCTCCCGAACCTAATGCATGATGGGATACGCACAGCCTTGAAAACCGCTCCGAAGTTTAGGCACTGCTCTCTGGCATTTTTTGTCTTGTGTGTGCATTTTTTTTTTTATGCTATCATGTGTAGGGGGATTAAAAATACAGTGTGTACAGTACAAAAACCATTACACCTATGGAGAGTCCCAGTAAACCCCATTCAAGAGTGTGTGTGCGGGCCAATTATATAAGCCAATGAGCTGTCCTTGAGAGCGCTGGCGGCCTCCCGCGGAGAGCTGAAACCCGAGTGGCTGGATTCAGTGTCTGGGTTCTGATGTCACGATGACTGAACCGACACACTGATCCACATCCAGATCAGCTGACCTCCACTGCAGACATGACACGACATCACATCCTGCTGTCTGATCCAGAAAACACACTGAAATGACTGTTATGTGCTATTGCTATCTTAAAAATAACACTTCATAGTGAAATAAATTACTTTATAATATTACTTGCATATTAATACTTAACTAATAATCTTAATAATAAACTAAAGTCGTCTATATTAGAGGAAAAAAACAAGAATCTACTTCTGTTTTCATTACTGATACTTTGTTCCATTTTTCCAAGAAGTGATGAATGATCTTGTTCTTTCGAATATGGATATGATATTATTAGTATATGAAATAGTGGAGCTGCACGATTAATCATTGAAAGATGGCAATCTCCTGGCAGTCAATCCACGTGTACCGTATGCGGGCCGGATCTGGGCCGACAAGTATTGATTTGAGTGAGTCATTGAATCATTCATTCAAGTGATTCATTGAAAAATGCTGATTCATCAAGTGTCAGTCATTTGAGTCAGTCATTGAATCATTCATTCAAGTTTTTTTTTTTTTTTTTTTTTTTTTTTATTAAACATTTAAGCAATACATACAAACATATATAAAAGAAAAAAAAAATTACAGCAAAATACACAGACACAAATAAGTTGCTAGGGTAACATAAAAGCAAGAATGCGTTGCATTCACCTTAAGAGGACATAAAGGATGAATATATAGATACAGTTTTCATTGCTTTGGGATTAACAGAACTTTGGATAGTTTCCATGTATCTCTCCAAATCATCTTTGAATAAAGAAAAGAGAGGTTTCGAACCAGTAAATTTTTGCTTGTGTACATGAAATTTAGCTAGAAGGAAACACAAATTAATAATGTAATATTGTCCTGTTTTCTCCCTTGAATAATCAAACAAACCAAAGAAAACATCTTTAAAACAGAAAGAGAAGTCACTTACAAAATAGGATTGGACAAAAGTTAACAAATCTGACCAAAATTTCTCTGTGTGGGTACACCGCCAAAAAGTGTTTTGTTCAAAAACGCTGATTCATCAAGTATTGATTTGAGTCAGTCATCAAATCATTCAAGTGAGTTGTTGAAAAATGTTGATTCATCAAGTACTGATTTGAGTGAGTCATCGAATCATTAATTCAAATGATTTGTTCAAAAACGCTGATTCATCCAGTACTGATTTGAGTGAGTCTTCAAATTTTTCATTCAAGTGATTCGTTGAAAAATGTTGATTCATCAAGTACTGATTTGAGTCAGTCATCAAATCATTCAAGTGATTTGTTGAAAAATGTTGATTCATCAAGTACTGATTTGAGCGAGTCATCGAAGCATTCATTCAAGTGATTCGTTCAAAAACACTGATTCATCAAGTACTGATTTAAGTGAGTCATTGAATCATTCATTCAAGTGATTTGTTTAAAAACACTGATTCAAGTCATCGAATCATTCATTCAAGTGATTTGTTCACAAACGCTGATTCATCCAGTACTGATTTGAGTGAGTCTTCAAATTTTTCATTCAAGTGATTCATTGAAAAATGTTGATTCATCAAGTACTGATTTGAGTCAGTCATCAAATCATTCAAGTGATTTGTTGAAAAATGTTGATTCATCCAGTACTGATTTGAGTGAGTCATCGAATCATTCATTCAAGTGATTCGTTCAAAAACACTGATTCATCAGGTACAGATTTAAGTGAGTCATTGAATCATTCATTCAAGTAATTTGTTTAAAAACACTGATTCAAGTCATCGAATCATTTATTCAAGTGATTCGTTAAAAAACACTGATTCATCCAGTACTGGTTTGAGTGAGTCATCGAATCATTCATTCAAGTGATTCGTTCAAAAACACTGATTCATCAAGTACAGATTTAAGTGAGTCATTGAATCATTCATTCAAGTGATTTGTTTAAAAACACTGATTCAAGTCATCGAATCATTCATTCAAGTGATTAGTTAAAAAACACTGATTCATCCAGTACTGATTTGAGTGAGTCATCGAATCGTTCATTCAAGTGATTCGCTCAAAAACGCTGATTCATCCATTAATAAAACAAAGTGACTTCGAGAGTCATTGAATCATTCACCTGACCTGATTTTAGTTTTTTTTAATAATTCGTTTAAATCAATTAAACATTTTAAAAAGACTGCAGCAATTAACTTTTTATCCTAACTTGTAGTAAATTGCATGTTATTTTGTTTAGATGTCTGTTCAGAATCATGGGAGAATCGTGATTCTATTTGAAAACAAACAAAAAAATGTGATTCTCAGTTTATCCCGAATCGTGCAGCTCTACAGAATAGTAAGAGTTTATTCTGAATATTTCGTTAATGATTATTGTGGCGAGTTCAGAAGGATTGACCCCATGTTCTACTGAGCGAGAGCTGCTCTCACACCATTGTTGTGTGTCGTGTCCGTCGCAGGATCCTGAACACGACGCTGTTCGAGAGCTGGGACATCATCGGGCCGTACCCGTCCTGGTGGCTCTTCAACTCCCTCCTGCTGGTCCTGCAGGTCCTGCACATCATCTGGTCGTACCTCATCGCTCGCATCGCCTTCAAAGCCGTCATGAGAGGAAAGGTGCGTCCCACCACCTCGTCTCAAACACTCTTTCAGGACGTGATTGTGTGTAGTGACACGCGTTTCCTCCTTTTCTCTCTCTCTCCTGCAGAACTGGTTTGTTTTTTCCCTCTCTCGCTGGCTGGAGGCTGTTCCTGTCTTTCTGCTTCTGTCCTGATAGAAATCTTTCCTTCTTTCTGCTCCACTCTTTCGCTCTCTGTATCTTCTTCGGCTGTAAGTTTGCTTCTTTACTGTGATTTTTAGTTTTTCGGTAGTTGTCCCAGAATGTGTGTTTAGCCCTTCGGTCACACTCGACAAAGATTTATGCGTTTGAATTGCGTGTACTATTTATATCCATTTGGATTTTGCGGTTTTTAGCATAATCTAATACATTCAAGGTGAATATTTGCCAGTTATGCGGTGCAGATAATAGAATTATTAATAAACTGAGTGCGTTTTTAATGCACACTTTTATAATCATGAAAATCAATCTTTTATACATTTTGTTTTAAAGCTAGCCATATTTTAACTTTAATTGTTTTTGCAAGAATTTATGCTGATCCTAAGAATTTTAAAGAAATAATTAAGTAAACTATGCAATTATTTTTATTTTGAGTGCAAAAATGCGTCACATCAAGTCTATCAGTTTGGTCAATGTTAACCAAATGGGTGTACATTTTAAATGCAATTACATAAATAGTAATTTTTTTTTAGGCCTAAATATTTTTTGAGTGCATTTTAGACATCCTAATGGCACTTACTCTATAATACACTTAATAATCATTAAATCATGGACATTATTAGAAAAGGCGAAATGGCCACATTTGCAGTCAAAAAATATCGCCATTGGAAATTAATTAAAAATATGAAATTCACAGGAATTTTACTCTAGTAACCAATCAAAATGCAGTCGTCTTTTATTAAATCTGAATAATACCGAATGGTTTAAGGATTGTTTGGACTTATCTTCTTCAGTTAGACAAAAACATTCAGATTTGAGTTTTAAAGCACCCAAGCGCCCTCTTGAGGAAGGCCGCCAACATGGTAGTGAACACACAAACGTGTTTTAATTAAAAACCTGATCGTTTGTTTGGTCTATTCAAGTGTATGAGACATGTAAGCAATGTCTGTACATCCACACTACATCTAAACCGTCACCGGCCCACCGGTGGGCCCAATCCATAACATTTTAAAAACGGTAATATCCTATACTAAACCTAGACTAATCTACACAAACTATATATCATTTGAAAGCCTATAATCTCTAGTTTCCATATTTGGTGATTTTCAACATAAATGACAGAGGAGCCGTAATTTATCAATTTGCAACAAGAATATTTTCATACTCCTAAAGGCGTGTTTAGACTTTTATTTTGAAATATTGATGAACATGAAAAATCTTGAAAGAAGGGTAGAAACCTCAGTTTGTTTCCATGCCAAGAGTTCAAAAGATTACATCCATTCAATTATTTTAGAAAAAAAAAGGTCTGAATTTTCTTTTCTTTTTTTTTTTAAATATAAAGAAAAAATTATAGATTCACCATTTGTGATGTGGCATGAAGCCAACGCACATATTCATATCAAAATATGGCAGACTTCTCATATAACTTCTGAATAGGATGTCTACTTCATTTTTTACACAATTGTCTACTTTAAATTGTATGACAATTGTGTAAAAAATGGTTAACATCATTCAAAACACGTATGGACATGGAGGCATCCTTCTATGGGCAGTAATGGAGTCTGGTTGCCCTAGTGGAAGCGTTCGGTACTGCGCCCAAAAAAATCTCACTGAAATGTTTTTTTTTTTTTTTTTTGAGATATTAACCTAAAATTTGAAACACAACTTGTTTAGATTTTTGGCTTTGATTGTTTTGCAGTTTTAGAGTCGCCCAGGTTTTGAAAATATATCTATTTTATATAAAATATTAATAGTTAAATTTTTTACATTATGCATTTTCATAAACTAGTTTCACTTTCTCGATTTAAGAAATAAATTGTCTAAATTGTCCGCATGTCGTCTTTAAAACTAGATCAATCTTACGTCTATATTCCAAAGCATTCTTGAATTATTTAAATTTAAGGCCGTGTCCACCAAAGCATTTTTTTAATTTATTGTATTTTTTTTTTTGGCCAATTGTTTCCAATGGGAGCGCCGCGTTTTTTAAACGCCATGAGCGTAGCGAGGTACTGAGTTTTTTTTTTTTTTTTTTTTTTTTTTCATACTGAAGCGCAGAGCGCCCGCCGTTTTTACAGGTCGTCGAGAGTTGAAAAATGTTCAACTTTGGATAAAACGCAGCGCTCATCACTGTGATGCTTAAAAGTTTAAAAGAGCCACGGCTAACAACCCAAATGTGGTTCCAGGTGTCCAAAGACGAACGTAGCGACATCGAGAGCAGCTCGGACGAAGAAACTGACACAATCTCCAAAGAGCGACTCAAAACGGGCAGTCGCGGTCATTCACCGAGAGGAGAGAACGGCACCAACGGCCATTTCGGCCCCAAATCCTGGAGCCAGAACCACAGCGACTGGTGACACTACGTCCATGTGGCCTTCACACACACACAGAACTGTGTCCCGGAGATATCCCAGCGGGACTATTCCTCATCCCTGTACCTCACTCCAACACCAAACATCCTGTCGTGGGACTTTTTGAGACTCGATGACGGAGTTTGGGACGCTATTCCAGTGGTGACGGGACACTAATGACAATATGGCCACTCTAAGAAGCTTGTGAAAGAGAAAATGATTAAATTAGTCAGATCTGCATTCCTTGGTTTCCTCGTTTCGGGAGCTGAGACGTTTCTTCTCCGCGCTTCGCGTTTTACTGAAGTCGGGGAGAACGTCGTCTTCAGATTTTAACGGTCAGATGAACTTGAGTTGTTTTTCTTTTCTCTTTTCCGTTGTTTGTTTCGGTTACTGATGTGTTTGTAATTTGTTTCCTGTGCTGTTTTACATTTGGCTTTTTTATTTTTGGAAACCAAATAAGGTTATTAAAATGAAAGATGGGTCCTGTGATCAGATGCTTCTGGATTAATAGGTGAGTTCTCACCTTCCAAAGATGAACGGTCGATTGAATGACGTAAATGTGCAAATAAATATAATTTATACAATTATCAGTCACACTAGACATGTTGTGTTAAAAGGGTGATCTAAGACTTGAATTTAATTTCTAGTTCTCAACTGGGATCACAAAAAAACAACGCTAAATACAAATTATAGTAATTAAATTGTGCAACTAGGTTGTCTGAAATATCTATATTCTGAACCAGTTGAGAATGACTGTTATGATGAAATATAACTGTTTGTATTCTATATTTCCAGTTGTCGTTTTAATTGTATTAATTTTGTTGTGTACTTCAGTCATTTTTATTAGTTTTTTTATATTTATATGTTGCATTAATATATATTTATTTGCATTTTAGCTTTAAAGTTTTGAGATTTGTTGTGTACTTTTACTTTTTTTCAATGTATTTCCATTTTAGCTTTAAGTTTTAGTAATTTGCTGTGTACTTTTATCATATTTAAAAAAAACATATTTTATTAATTTCAACTTTAATTTTAGTACTTAAATAATTCAGTTACTTGCCACGGCAACATTTCTAACATAATTTAAAATCGAATATTCTTTTCAATTAATAAACTACTTTTTAATAGTTTTAGGGTATGTTTACAAGACAATGACGTACTAAAAACATAAACGTTTTTCTGTTGTGTTGCTGTACAGATGACAATGTTACGGATCTGCGAAACTACTAAAAATGCTGCATTACTCATCCCAGGCCAGTAGATGGCGGCGTCACTTTGTAAACAAACTCCGCGCCTAAAGACTGAATATGTAATAGAGTGCCGAAGTTATGATGTCACTTAACGCGGAAGTGTGTTAGCATTTTAGCAACTCCGGTTCCCTCGCGTTTTTTGAATGAGTTTTTGCTAAATCGCCTGAAATAAGGTCTGTGGTGAACAAAGCCTCTAATATTTTCATGTTTTGATCTATGACATACAACACACCAGTTATAATCTGCTTGTGGTTTTTTAAACTTTATATAGGCTTCAAAATGTATACATTTTGGATTAAAGATTATCTTGATCGAATAAACGTGTAAGGGTCACAACCCTTTGTTAAACACGCATCTTATTTTTTACGATTTTCCAAAAGTTTATGGGGAAAATGCATAGCTTTTCGTTCAAGGGAACCCATGCGCCGCTAACTTCCGAGTTGTCCTACAAAGTGACGTCATCACTTCGGCAAGCGCATGACATCATGTTTTTGTGGTTTACATGCAATTTAAAACCGTGTTTTCAGGCCCCCAAAATGCCATTGTGTAAATGAACAGCCAAAACACAGACATTTTTTAAGTTGTAAACGGTGTAGTGTTAACATCCCCTTGGTTTACAAAAAGCTGGAATATTATAATTTCAAGTTCAGTTCAACAATGTAATGTGCAATTTAAAAAAAAATAATTTTTTACCAGTCCAGAAAAAAGAAAAAAACATTTTAAAGTAATTTGTCATCAGGTGTGGGACTCAAATTGATAGGACAAGTTTTACGGTAGTAGATTTCACAAGGAACATTTAATATATTACAACATAAATCACTGTTTCCATAGCAGAGACCTCATTGGTGTTACTAGACAAACGAAGCCTTGGAGGTTCATGAGCGCAGGTGTGTTTCTGAGAGTCCCACCCGTGTGACATGATCAGTGTCCGGGTACGCGATTGTGTTCAGTCTTTGACGGTCTCTGTAGTCTCGCTCTGTGCCGCTAGCTGTTTCTGTTTCTGCATGTAGCGATGAGCCCGCAGGACACACAGGTATCCGCCGTACACCGTCAGCAGCATCATGGAGCCCGAGAACAGCTTATAACCGGCGTCTGCAATGCGCTTCACACCGAGCATGATGGATCTGCGGACACATGACACAATCTCAGGTGAGGTGAGTTAGCAGATCCCAGCAAACACAGAACACACCCATAGAAGGATTTTGGAAACCAATGAAGAACGTTAATGTAACGACAAATGTAGTGGTTAACAGAAAACAAACCTTAAAATGCATGTTTTGGGAACCAAAAATCGTTCTGGGATACTGAATGCTGTCAAAGATGATCATCTGATATTTTATGAATAATATTATCCCTTAAAGGGATAGTTCACACACAAAAAAATGTAAATACTGTCATTATTTACTCGCCCTCAAGTTGTTCTAAACTTGTAAGAGTGTATTTGTTCTGTTGAACGGAAAAGGAGATATTTTAAATAAGCAGTTTTATAGTATGAAAAAAAAATAGTACTATGAAATTCAATGGGGACCAGAAACTAGTTGCCAACATTCTTCAAAATATCTTTGTGTTCAACAGAACAAATCAACTCAAACAGGTTTAGAACAACTTGAGGATGACTAAATGTTAATTTCTCTCACTTTTTGGCGAACTATCCCTTTAAAATACACCAGTTTTACTTTAGAAATGTAGTAACTGGTATTATTGTGTAGATTTGTGGCATTAGATTCAAAATAGGCTTAATAGGGTCTAATTCATTTCAGTTTTTGAAGGTTTTTCTCTTTTTGTCATAACAAATATTACCCTTACACCGATTTACATTAATTTAACCATAATAAAGAGTAATAGTTTCAATATTTTTAGTTACACCTTGACGCTGCGAGAATTATAATAAATGTTTTTATCATTGTATTTACATAATCCTCTCTGATATATGTCAAAGATATTACGTAATACAATGTTCAACACCGTTGGTAATGCTAAACCTTCTGTTGGTGAGTACGAATCTGGTTTCTAATAGTTTCACAACCAGTATGAGTTAGCATCTAAGACATCTAGTCTACAATAATATGTTTTACTACATTTAACGTCGTACCTTCTTTAAAGTCACAGCGATTACATATAATATCATAATGTGGAGTCTTACCTGTTTAATAACCAATTCAAAGTAAGAGGAAATGCAGCTCGTTCTCAATGTCAGAGGCAAATGGTTATGCGCATGCGCAGTTACATTTCGTAACTCTATGGCAAAGCAGAAGGGCCAAATCTAGTAAATGCGTTTTTCTCTTGTAAGTCTGGGTTTATAAACGACATATTTTAATATTTTACAACACAGAACAAAGTAGATGTGTCTAATTGCTGAATTCGTGTTTTTAACATTATAAACGTGTACAGTAAATTCATTCGATTCAATGTGAGGAACTAGTTTTATAAGGCAGGACGAGCCGTCAGGAATTATTTTGTTGTCGGACCGCGATGATGGAGACCCATGTGAGTTCAGAAGAAAATGAAGATCCTGGAGCCGCTCCTTATGGAAACTTCATCAACTACTACTCCTTTAACCCACCAGAGAACCGCCTGGGTTTGATACCAGAAGCGCTGCTTGAAAACATCGGATTCGGTTCCGACAGAAGTGAACGTGTTTTAATGCTGGATGTGGGATGTAACTCAGGGGTACGAATGATTTATATAGTGTTTAAATCAGATTTTTGCTCGATATTATTAGATGTTAAACTTGTTAAATACATTTTAATAAATTATGAATTTGTTAAATTATGTAAATTAAATTAATAACTCAATTTCATCTTATTTTAATAATCTTGTATATGTAAATAAATGTATAATAATAATAATCCAAAAGATAAATACCCCAAAATTAAAACTTTGTCATTAAATACTAATCCTCTTGTTATTACAAACCTGTAAGACCTCTTCGGTAACACTAATTAAGAAATTTTTAATGAAATCTGAGAGCTTTCTGTCCCTCTGTTGACAGCTAGTTACATAACCACTACTTTCAATCCCCAAAGGTAGTAAATAAATACATTATTAAAGTAACCCATGTGACTTCAGTGGTTTAACCTCATTTTTATGCAGCAACAAGTGCTTTGTTTGCAAAAAAGCAAATAAACTTGAAAGTGGTAGTTGCGTAGACTGTCAATAGAGGGACATATTTCATCTATAATGTCTTCATGATATTTTCAATATCTTCATGAACGACAGTCTCACGGGTTTCAAACGACATGTGGAAGAGTAGTTAAAGACTAAACTTTATTTTTGGAGTGAACTAACCCTATAAGTATATTTATATGTCTAATAACTTATTAGATGGATATCATTGAATCCTAACCCTCCGTATGCATGTATTAGCCTTAAGTGTAAAACCGCTATAAATACTAAGGATTCAAGCAGTGTCAAAAAAAAAAATCAGACATGGAAATGAATATCAATAAAATGGTTAATCTAGTTACATTTTGTTTTAGTTTTAGTTATGCTCAGCAGTGAAATATCATATTGTCTAGAAGTTGTTATATTGCTCTTTATGAGACTTCTATTATAATTTTTTACTGTATATTAGTGTTGTACATTATCACCGGATTGGTTTAGATGAGGACAATCTGTTATAATCAACTCATAAAAATGTATAATTAATCCCCAGTATCTGTTTTATTTTCTTCCCTCTGTTTGTCAGGACTTGTCGGTTGCTCTGTACAAGCATTTACTGCAGGAGGACGCCTCTGGAAGTGACTCTCCTAAAAGAGAACTGCATCTGCTTGGATTTGACCTGGACCGAGATCTGATCCTTCGGGCACAAAAGTCCAACCCTTTTCCCCAGAACATCCAGTTCATCCCCCTGGACATCACGGATGCTCAAGAGAGCCGGGCAGCGCTAGAGTCGTATTTGGGCAGGTTTGTCTGCCCCCGCTTCCACCTGTGCACATGTTTTGCGGTGACGATGTGGGTTCATCTGAATCACGGAGACGCTGCGTTCCTGTCTCTCCTCTCGAGACTGGCGTCTCTCAGTGAGTTTCTGCTGCTGGAGGCTCAGCCGTGGAAGTGTTACCGCTCTGCTGCGCGACGCTTACGCAAACTGGGCCGCACTGACTTCGAACACTTCAAGGCCCTTGAGATTCGAGGGGACATGGCTGCGCATGCTAGAGAGCACTTGGAAAAGCAGTGCAGCATGGAGCTGGTGCAGAGCTTCGGTAATACAACCTGGGACAGAAGTCTCCTCCTCTTCAGAAGACGATAATAGAGAGCAACACAGTCAGACTTTTATAGATAGTTTGATCAATCAGTCATCTGATGTGTGTAGGCTGATTTTGGACTGACTGGACTGTTTTGTTTTGTTTTTAGTTACCAAACACAAGGGGGCACTAGAGATGTTTGCTTATGCCATGAGTCTGTTGGTTTTTATGTCTGTATTTTTTTGTTTCTGATGTACACTTGCAATTAAGACTACTTTATATTATTATTTTTATGGATCTGGATGTTTGTCCTCAGTAATGTATTTAATTGTAACTCATTGCAGTGTTTGTGTACTATATATATATATATATATATATATATATATATATATGAAGAGTTCAGATGCAAAAGCAAATTTTTGAAATTTTCTTCTTTAATGATGATTTTTATCAAACTTGTATATTTAAGTTCAGTAATTTCACTTAAATGGCAATGATAATTACCTATTAATTGTTATTTAAGTGAAATTACTGAACTTAAATATACAAGTTTGATAAAAATCATCATTAAAGAAGAAAATTTCAAATGGCATTTAGAGGCTTTTGCATCTGAACTCTTTGTGTGTGTGTGTGTGTGTGTGTGTGTGTGTGTGTGTGTGTGTGTGTGTGTGTGTGTGTGTGTGTGTGTGTGTGTGTGTGTGTGTGTGTGTGTGTGTGTGCGTGTGTGTGTGAGAGATATACACGCTATGGCTATAATGATTATTTTTACTTTAGTATAAGTTAGCTTAAAAAGTGTTATTTTAGCTTAAACTTTTTATTTTGATAAACGCTATCCTATATTACACATTTTGTGTCTAGTGTATTTACGTAGTTTTTACTTATAAATAGTATTTCAGCTTTTCGAGGCTGCACATTATTTTATTTATTATAACAGGATAAAATTAAATGTGCAAACAAGTCGCCACGACGTGAGCTGTAAGTATAACGCTAAAACGCATTTATAATTAATCCAAGAATCACAATTATTAATCCAAAATAATAAATCGTCACGCGCTTCCCGCCTACACGCCACAGAAATATTCCCGCTCTTTAAGAAGAATTCAAAAACTAACAGACGAACCGGTCAAGTGTACTGGTTTTTCGCATTATTCTTATGTAATTTTTTTTTATAATATATGCATTTTTAGTAAACGGGACACTTTAATTTTAGCAAACCAAGTGAAAGCAACAGAACTACGTGAAACTGAGAAGTTCAGGACGATTAACGGAGAGGAGCAGATCATCTTCGCGGTAAGCGATTATACAGCTTATATCATTTAGTGTAATGGAGGCTAGCTACTAGCTGTGGTAGTTATCTAATGTTTAAATGTCAACTATGTGGAGCAATTTGGGGAAGAACAGCAAGTGTATCATTGCCTTCACACAGTGACATTCCTCTTTTCATCACCAGAAGCTTTCAGGATGTAATTTTGAGGACATTTTGTCTGATCTGGTATTATGTTAGACCATCATTGACCATAATGTGCTGAAGACATCGTACAGCTCGTCTCTTCCTCTAAAATAATCTCATTGTTGGGATTAGTGCAGATAAAACAGTCTGAGCTTGCTTTATTTCTGCTATATTGCTCCAACATAATTTATTACCACGGCTGTGTTAGTGTATTGGCCTGTCATGTCAGTTTCTGAAGCCTGAGACATTTAGATTAGGAAACATGAAAGACAATGTCATGTTTTACTGTCACTGAGTGCACATTGCCTGTAGCCAAATATGACAAATTATATTTGTTACATTCAAGCAGGTTTTACAGGAAGAAATACTCAAATTGCTTAGTGGGGAATATTGGTTTTATTTTTCAGACAGTCTAGTTTCTTTCCTGTTCAGGATTTTTTTTTTAATGATTTTTTTTTTATCTCGTAGGCTTTGTTCACACTGCACATTATTAGTTTTTTTCTATACATTTTTTAGGACTGTCTGCTCTGATTTCACCATTTGCAAATGTTGAAATCAGATGTTTGTTCATGTGGTTATCTTTATCACTATGATTATGATATCATCACTCGTATATGAAATACTGAAATACTGATTTTGCATAAACGCAAATTGATAAGTAAACAATCAGATTTAACAATTTAAACTAGATTTCCAATGTTTGTACCAGCTTGATTCTTGTTTTCCACTGTTTGAAATCAAAATCATTAAAATCAATTGAGTCAAACAGTAAAATATAACTTCTATTGTTTGTCTGAACAAACCCTTAAAGTTTATCAAATTATATTGCAAGAGAAATTGACCACATTTACAAGCTTTATCTCATTGAATAATAAAAGCATTCAATTCTATAGAATTAATCATTCCAAAATTTAAAATTATATAGTCATTTAATATTTGTTTTTATATTGAATATATATGTTTATAATATATTTGAATCACACACAAGGTCGGTCTTTGTTATTTCAGAAAAAAATCATTGCAGATTACTCTCGATTCACAGAAAGACAAAAGAAAACTACTTCTATGTTTCAGGTTAACTCTCTTAGGTATAGTATAGCATATTTGAGAATGGTTAACACTTCAGTGAGTGCTGAATCTGGTGCTGTTTCTGGTTTCAGTAGTCTTGATCAGGATTTTAGGTGATGGAGAGCTGTTCTGCTGAAAACCATTCGCCCCTTTGGAACCTGTGAAACAAAAATAACAAAAAAATTCAGCTTTCAGATTGTGTAAGGTTTAAAGTGCTGGTTAAGAACAAGTTAAAGTTAACACGAAATGGCTTTCGCGACCCATGCTTCTTTCATTTTAATATTTTACAGTAATACGGTGTTGAATATCCTCTCTAGAAATATTGGACAGGCTTGAATTTCTTCCTGGACACTTGATTGGATAGTATAAAGTGGGTGTTTCACACAGGAAAGGGTCGTCAAACACTATTGAGGAGCCTTTAGAAGTCAAATGTTTTGTGTGGATACTGTCGCCATTGTTGTAATAATGAATAATGTCACACTTGTCCACTCAGACTTACTGTAGTTGGGAACAGCCTGGATGTTCACAATGGACTGCTGCCCAATTCTGTGAAAGGTAAAAACAATGAGACATTCAATATTCATTAATGTAAACACTCTAGTTTCACTCCTCTTAAGCCGGATTAAGCACACTTTGCAAATTTGGCCGTCTGAGACTCCTAAAATCCTAAAAGATTCCTCCGATCCTTGGCGAAAATCTGAAATCTTTGAACAGTAGTTGGACATGTTCACCGACAACCGATTAATGACTGTTGCGATAAATTTTTACCTCAGACAAATTCCACCAGTGTCTGAAGATTTGGCTCTCAGTCCTGCAGTGACTTCATCTACGACGACCGCCAAATTGTCTTTGTTTTTTAAGACAAGCCATGACCAAAATGAACGTTCGAGATTTCTTTGTAGCCACCATTTCAATCTCGCGAGTAACACTGCTCACAGTCACCAAACGTGTCATTTATTGATAAAACTTTTCTAGCGTGTCTGTTTTTAAAGCGTCGGCTGTCTGACATTAATGGCAGCTGAGATCTTACAGTGTGTGACATGATTATAGCGAGGATCATGTTCGTACAGTCTGACAAGCAAGCAATAATCGTAAAGGACAATTATAAATCACACAGTGTGCACCGGGCTTTAGGTAGAGAACGATGCAGTAAAATAGGACTTGGACATGTTACCTGTCCTCCTCTCCTTCCAGAAGCTTCCTATAGGTGGCGATCTCGATGTCCAGAGCCAACTTGACATTCATGAGCTCCTGGTACTCGCGGAGCTGGCGGGCCATGTCCTGCTTGGCTCTCTGTAGCGCCTCCTCCAAATCCTTGAGGCGACCTTTGGCCTCCTTCACACTCATCTCGCCACGATCCTCGGCCTCCGCTATCTGGTTCTCCAGGTTCGCACGCTAAAATGATAGTAGCCTCGTGAGTAAATGTCCTTGCACACTGAGTCCGAAATTTTCGCACGTTAAAAATTAAAGACAACCTTATGTTGTGTCAATCACGTCTCCGAAACTTTCGTACGTCATAAAATAATTCTGATTGGTTAATTTTTTGCGTTTTTCGCATCCGTAACAGCATTTTTCAGTGTTTTGACAATTCACAGCCACCGAATAACACATAGGCCTACAAAAATTTCAGACCCAGTGTGCAATGACCTTAAACGACCACCATTGGTTTAGGTTAAAGGAAAAAGTTAATGTAGCTCATTGTAACGGTGGTGGCCGCCCTAACATAAATTATTTAAAACAAATATTGGCGCCAGACAGGATTAAACCTGTTAAAATGCAAATGAATAAATCCCAGTAATAGTCTCAGAAAAATAATTTCACGAGGTATATATCCTCACCTGCGATTTGATAACCTCAATCTCGCTCTGCAGACGGCTGATCATGCGGTTGATATCTGCGATCTCTCCTTTAGTGTTTCGCAGTTCGTCGTTGTACTGACTCGCCTGAGAGGACATCTGATCAAACTGACCCGAACGAGATGGAAAAACTGATCAGTACACAAATCACTGTAGTCCTGTACCCAAAAGACGTTTTAACTAAACTCATTTTAGTCCTACTAGGCGTTTATGGAGAAAAACACCTAGGGTCAACATGAAAAGTTTACTTTCTTAATCCATCTTCCTGGTCACATTGTGAACGATTACTCATTCCAATGGAAAGTCTTTCATCAAAATGTATTGAATTGCCTCTGAAACGACTTTTTTCAATAACTACGTAGTCAATTCACAATGTCTACAATCAATCCTGCCCTCCATTTTAGCCAGGACGTGGAGTACTTTTTCACGTTGTCTTGAAAAAGACAGATCTCTTGGAGAAGAAGAGAATAAGTGTGTATTTTGTGTCTACCTTGGACTTGTACCAGGATTCGGCCTCTTCACGGCTCCTGGCTGCGATATCCTCGTATTGAGCCTTGACTTCGGCCACGATATGATCCATGTTGAGGTTTCGCGAGTTGTCCATCTGCACGACGACGGACGTGTCTTTAATGCTGGCCTGCAGCTCGCGCAATTCCTGATCCAGAGAGACAAGGCAACTTTATGTGTTTGAGGGAGTTTTAGCTCTGTGGAAACTTTGTTGTCATATGTAATAGACAAATTGGCCTTTCTTTGACCAGCGTTATCCTTATGTGTAGGCTAG